AACGCACTTGTAAGCCAATTTACCGCAAGAAAAAATGATAGAAATGTTATTGTCCGGCTTTGGGTCGGTTCGTATAGTGAAAAACTGTGACCTCGGGCTCGAAAATGGGGCCTGGGGCCTCGGGCATCGTTTTCAAGACCTCGGTCACAGTTTTTCACTATATGGACCTCCCAGCCGGCCAATAACATATACATGTCAATGAAATAATCTTTTCTTGGCGATCTTAAAGTTGTTTAGCTATATTGCACGTTTATCATCCAAACTTCTTCAGATTCTTAACTCTGAAATAATGTTTCCATGAGCTTGTAAACTCCAGTTGATGTAGCGTACTCATTCCACAGGGAATGCAAAGCTGACCTAAATAAACCGGAATCGCTTCGAAGATTTGAAGAAAGAATTTCACAATACCATGACTTGGGATAACTATTTGGATGGCAATTCGCCGACGAAAGTCTCACATATTAATTTTTGCGGTGGCTATTCGTTCAGATCAGTAGACTATACACAAATGCGAAGTGCCGCGAATCGAGTCGATCGTTCGCGAAGTACGTGTAAACAGACTAAGAACGATTTCAAACTTCGACTCAAATCGGCAGCGATCACCAGAATCATTTAATGAATTCAAATAAAGATAATATTTTAAATCGTCAAGATGAATTCTACAAAAATTCTGTAACCCGAACGAACCAAATCCCTTGTAATTATTATTTCATTATTACTCATTCTTCGCTGGAGACTCGCCGGTCGATCAAACCTGACGATGAAATGTTCCCAAATCTTGCTGGCTGAGGCGCTTAATGTACACTGCCAAGAACTTGATCGACTCTCACAGTTTTATACGCATTTTCTTGCTCAGAATAATGTCACGACAACTAGAGGCGAGCAAGTATACGTGTGCGAACGTTAATTAAGGGTATAGAATGGTCCTATTCAATATAAAGGTGCCCGCAAAATTTTGCCTTTGCTCGAATCGCTCGCAAAAATTAGATGAGTGCTCACTTGTTCGTGCTCGCACAATTTTTCTAACTGCTCGCCAGTTCGAATTCTCGTTAAAATTGTCTGCCGTGTAGCGGAAGCATAATCTGCATCTTGGAAGCAAAATTTGATGCTGGAAACAATGTTTTCCGTATGGCAAAACCGGGAACGTTGGGGAAACATGCACTCATACGCACGCGCTGTGAATGTTTCTGGAAACATGCTTCCTCGTTTTATTGAAACTGACGCGCGTAAGAATTCTTCGCGAAAGGCACCCGCCGAAAGTAATGATGATGACATGAAAAATGTCACTATTTTTTTTTCGACCTTCAGAGCTTGTCAGAGCTGTATGGCTGCAATTGGTTAGATCTTGGAAGCCTCCAAATGAAGTTTCATTTCGTTGAATCTTTTTAGTCAATCAGTGGGAACCACTCATTTCACGATATTTGGCACAAAAATGCCTCAGGAAATAAGTACCTGGAGTATGAATTTTTTTTTGAAATTTAACAGAGAAAATCCTAGATATTCCAGTTATCCTTCAACAAGGTGATTAAAGATTGCTGTGTTAAACTAATATAAATTCAAATAGTCTTAACTTGTGAGCATCGTTACAAGCTTGTTGCATGCAAATGACAAAGAAAACCTCATGACTCGATTTTCTGCAAATAAACAAAACTGATTTTTAAGGCTTGTTTCTATTTATATATGTTGCCATGGCAACGGGACGTACGCCATAACTATCAAAACACCAAAGTTTTTGTTAACTTGCGTGTTGCCATTTTTGGCGACCAAAGGATCAAGGGTTTTGGAGGAAAAGATGAATGAAACACTGAGTTTGGCCACCTTAAGCGCTTATAATTCAAAAACGGCACGGTGAAATTTTTTTATACTACCAAATTTTGATAAGCAGGATCATGGGCCCTGGCAGGATAAGACGCAACTTGTGGCAAAGTTTAAAAAATCCTGTACTTAAGGTTCATAGCCACCTTAATTTTCAAAACGTCATAAAAGGTGTCTATATAAGAAACCCCTGATCGACAGGCAAACCTTACGGGTATTGTTTCGCTATTAAAACAACATAGATATATCACGGATGCCAACAATGTGCTTAAGCCAGTATTTACGTTATTATCTGTAAAAGGTGTCTTTTTTTATGCCTATGAGTCACTAAGCCCCCCTCCCAAACTCATAGCAAAAGCTTGCGTGACAGTCTCGCGAATACTGCTTAATGCGGGTAACTTGTCCTGTTAGAAGTGACCCGGCTCATGGTCGAAAAACTGAAGCATAACGGAGCAAAAATAACCTAAAGCAAAGAAGCTGAAAAAGAGCGAAAGTAAACAGATAAAAAGCAGTCTTGGAGTAAATGTTTTTTTCTGTGACTCATTCGCAAAGCAATTTGTCAGTTGGTCGAAGTATTATTTGTACAGGCGTCTAAAAATTTGCATCAGACAAATGTTACCCCACTTTATTTTGATTTAAACTGCACCAGCATTTTAACGTTAAACCGAAATCTTGCATATTTTCTTTTTTGTTGATTACAAGCTCAGTTTATGGAACCAAAAGTTTCGAGGGAAAAAATAAAAATCTAGAAATGCAAAAATATATTTAAATACAAAGAAGATTTCAGTTCAAAGTCTAATATTTTTTTCACTCAATTCTACTTTCACTTATGTTAATTTGTCAATCCTAGCAACCAAAGCAATCGACAAAAATCTGATGATTATATACAGTGTGGCTGTTAATATATTCTTTATTCTTCTTATATTTCTAAGACGTCGTTCTTAGCTGCTACAATCAAGGAAATAATATTTTAAAATCGTACCGCGAAAAAAGGACATTTGGATTGTGAAAATCTTCTTGGAACGCATGTTAAGGTGGTGTTTGGCTCCGTGGAATTGACTTATTGCCTCTAGATTGAGCCCATGATGATTTCTTAACAAGAACCATATCATGAGTTAGGGTTGAAACTTCGAGGAAGGATATACCAAACGTATTCAATCAAACGAAATTGAAAAATAAGCGTCACATCTCGCTGCTGTTATAACTTTCTCCTCAAAATATTTTATGATGGGGAAAATTCTAAAAGGCGGACACTGGAAAGTAAACAAGGCACAATTGAAAACATGGCTACCCACTGCATATTATTACTTTTTCTATGGCGCACTGGGATCTCTTTTCCCGTTTCTGAACTTGTACTACCGAGCTGTTGGAATGGACCCATGGCAAATCGGAATCCTCGGAGGAATTCGGCCCCTCATCGCCTTACTCTGTGCTCCAATATGGAGCTTTGTGTCCAATAAGTATAAGATAAGAAAAATTATACTTGTTTTCTCGCTGGTGAGCTGGATTGCTTTCACTGTTCCACTCTTGCTTGTGCCACATTCGTTTGCAAGTGATCAGTGTCCCAATCAAGGAAATAACACCAGTTCGGAGCTTAGCCTTACAGATGAAGATTCCTTGACAGATCTTGAAAAGAGAGAGCTAAAGAATATTTCGCTTGTAAACTATCGACTAGTTTCGTTTGAGGAACCTAACGATCTGCCAGAACACGAACAAAACGGTCGCAATTTCCAAGGACAAAGGTTACATGGAAGGGCATCCAAAAGAGACGTTGGACATACTTACGTGAAAAGTAGATCCTCATCAAGCCATTTACGATTTGCTGCTTTAAAAAGGTCATTTGTCAATAGTTTTAGTTTACCGGGAATGAAATTGGAAGTTGTGACGAGCAACAACGCAGCAAAAAGTCAACGAAAACCATTTGATTTTAAATCACGAGGTGCGCCATACTACAACAAGAGAAAGAACCCTTATTCTGATACAATATTCACCGAGTTGCTGTTTATTGTATTCGCCAGTGAAATCTTTCAGTCGCCAACAGATGATCTCAACACTCATTTTGACGGAACTTTCTTGGAACACTTGGGGGTCCTATATCAAAATGTTATTAACAACAATATCTACAGTTCTATTGGTATTGGACTCATAGCTTTTGCTACAGGTTTAACGCTCCGTTTCGCACCTAAAATAACAATCTGTGACGTCGAATACGCCAATTACCATATCGCCTTCATAATCTTCTCACTGCTCATGGCCGTAGCCCTAGTGATCTCAATCAAATTTGATTTCACATACAGAAGGCGCCGTCGCAGCTTCGAAATAAAAGAATCACTGGGGCAATTGATACCAGTGGGCAACGTCATGTTTTTATTCATAGTACTTATCATGGGTATTCTCCGGGGGGTCCTGTTCAACTTTGTTTACTGGAATATCGTGGATATAGGTGGCTCAGATCTCGTGGTAGGTTTGACGGTGGTCAGTCAGTATCTCTCCGACACCATTATGTCCCTGTCAGCTCCGATACTGATGATGTACATGGGGTATATCGGAATGGTTTACCTCGGCCTTGCCTCGTATGCCCTACGATTTCTGATCTACTCGTGGCTGAGCACCCCATATTCCGCGTGGGTTACCCCACCGGTTGAGCTTCTGCAAGGAATCTCCCATTCCACTGCCTGGTCAGCATTTCTCTTGTACATCACCAACTACACTCCGAGATCTACCTTTCCCACAGGGTTATTTCTACTCCAGGGTTTGTATCTAGGGGTAGGAGGAAGCCTCGGAGGGATAATTGGTGGGATCTTAATCCAGGGTTATGACACCAATGTAACCTTCCGTCTGTTTGGTCTTGTCAGTGTATTGACGTGCCTGTTGTTCGTGATGATTCAGCCGTCATCAGAGTACGAGACTCTTCCATCTGAAGCAGACACCATACCCTTCCTCACAGATGAGGATGATTATTCCAGCTACAGTGAAGATGAAATTTTCGATTTCAGCCAACGTGGAATTGTTTACATCCCATCAAAAAACACTACTGGGGGATCGCTGCAAGTAAAGAAAATGGTTTTGCCGTCATACAGTTCTCCTTTAGTGCCAATTTGTATGTCACTAGCCAAGAAAGAGGTGAAATAATGAGAGGTGAAATAATGAGAGATGAAGCGGAGTTTCTGAGACCTGAACTTGACCAGTTGTCACTGATTATTCTATTAAACAACTTCCTTTTATTTTCAATATCAGTTGTAAGGGAAATGGTGCAAGTTGCTCATTGCCTTTGAACCAAGGTGATGTAACTAAGGTCAATAAAAGTATCAAATAAGCGATCAGAATATTAAAGGTAAACTTCAAGGGGGACACTCTTCGTGGCTAATATAATAATAAAAGTCTTTATTATCCGGAAGAAACGTACGTGTGAATTGTTTCTCTTACCTTAATGTTAGTCCTGTGACTTGCTACTCTTACTCTTCTTCACGGTTTAAAATTATTGATTGATGAAATCTTGACACATTGCATTCTGCTAAAAATTGTCGGCCGGCCGGTGCCAATAATCGAAGTTGAGACTCTTGCCTGGTCCGTCTCGGAATTCCTGGTCTGTCTCGGAATTCCTCCCAGATGGCTATCAAGCCAGTTGGGAGCTGGTCACATTGTGAGTTCGTAATATACCCGTAGATGGTGACATCATCACTTGTATTCTTCACCATCTACGGGTACATTACGAACTCACAATGTGACCAGCTCCAGTTGGCTTGATAGCTCAGTTGGAAGAGCACTGCACCGTGTCGCAGAGGGCATGGGTTCGAATCCCGTTCAAGCCTGGAATTTTTTCAGGCCTTAATTTCACAACTGAAACAAATTGTGTGTACAACTGTGGCGATCTTTCATGTCTTCATATCTTTCTCTGCAGTTCAAACATGTGATCTTTCATATATTCACTTGTATTGTATCTGTATATGGACCAAAAGGCTAAATATAGCTTTGCATCAGGACATCCTTGTTAGGTATACGTATACCCAGATTGTCAAGAATATCTTACAAGGAATTTCCGTTCTATTTGAGTTTCCTCTCCCTTAAAATTTCCGAGTTTTCCTCCCGGAGAGCTCGCATTTCGAAAGCCGAACAATCCTCTAATTTTATTGGGAAACTTTTCAAAGAGGTTTTTGAGCCATTTGCTCTCCAATTAAGTTTGTTTTCTTGAAGGCAAACAGGGCCTCTTTTGACATACAACAACTTTGACAGGTTACACTTGTCTTAATTGAAGAAAAAAACGCAAGAGAATCGATAATCTTGAGGAAATTAAAAGATTTTCAAGTCAAAAACCAATATGTACTTGCTCGATAGCCGAATTTTTAACCGGCATTTTTGTGGTTCAACTTGAATAAGAGCCGTTCCGATCCCTTTGTAATTAATTTAAACTATTTTTGCAAATGAAATTCTAAAGCTGTCTATGTAGACTCAAAATGACTGCAGTTGAGCCTTAATAGCTCAATTTATCACTCTAGTCTTGATTTGTTTAAATTATTATTTGCGGTGCTAATGTTCATTCAATTTTTTTTGTCTAACAGTTTAACTAAATTTTAGCCTTAGTGACAAGAACAAATTGTAACTTGAGGCCAGCGGTAGGAAAAATTAAAAAAAGAGCCTTAGAAAGAAAGACCTGACTCATTTTATTGAGGGCACGTGAATCAATTGTAGCTTATTTATCTCTTAACCACGTTTACAATGGAATTTTATTACCTTGTAAAAAAAATAATAAATTTGTGAATATTCTTAAAAAAACAACAATCAAAATTGTAAATTTTAAAACAGACTATTAACATTAGTTGCATCCCTATTTCAATTTTTTCATTTTGTATTTGGAATGTTCTTTTAGTGTCCACAATTAAATAATATCAGCTAAACACTTTGACACTTAAATAAAGTTCATTCATTCATTCAGTCATCCATCCATCCATCCATCCAT